CTGTCCACAACCTCAAACAGTCACACTCCAAACTCCACTATGGCCAAGACCAAAGAGCTGTCAAAGGACACCAGAAACAAAATTGTAGACCTGCACCAGGCTGGGAAGACTGAATCTGCAATAGGTAAGCAGCTTGGTTTGAAGAAATCAACTGTGGGAGCAATTATTAGGAAATGGAAGACATACAAGACCACTGATAATCTCCCTCGATCTGGGGCTCCACGCAAGATCTCACCCCGTGGGGTCAAAATGATCACAAGAACAGTGAGCAAAAATCCCAGAACCACACGGGGGGACCTAGTGAATGACCTGCAGAGAGCTGGGACCAAAGTAACAAAACCAACCATCAGTAACACACTACGCCGCCAGGGACTCAAATCCTGCAGTGCCAGACGTGTCCCCCTGCTTAAGCCAGTACATGTCCAGGCCCGTCTGAAGTTTGCTAGAGTTCATTTGGATGATCCTGAAGAGGATTGGGAGAATGTCATATGGTCAGATGAAACCAAAATATAACTTTTTGGTAAAAACTCAACTCGTCGTGTTTGGAGGACAAAGAATGCTGAGTTGCATCCAAAGAACACCATACCTACTGTGAAGCATGGGGGTGGAAACATCATGCTTTGGGGCTGTTTTTCTGCAAAGGGACCAGGACGACTGATCCGTGTAAAGGAAAGAATGAATGGGGCCATGTATCGTGAGATTTTGAGTGAAAACCTCTTTCCATCAGCAAGGGCATTGAAGATGAAACGTGGCTGGGTCTTTCAGCATGACAATGATCCCAAACACACCGCCCGGGCAACGAAGGACTGGCTTCGTAAGAAGCATTTCAAGGTCCTGGAGTGGCCTAGCCAGTCTCCAGATCTCAACCCCATAGAACATCTTTGGAGGGAGTTGAAAGTCCGTGTTGCCCAGCGACAGCCCCAAAACATCACTGCTCTAGAGGAGATCTGCATGGAGGAATGGGCCAAAATACCAGCAACAGTGTGTGAAAACCTTGTGACGACCTACAGAAAACGTTTGACCTGTGTCATTGCCAACAAAGGGTATATAACAAAGTATTGAGAAACTTTTGTTATTGACCAAATACTTATTTTCCACCATAATTTGCAAATAAATTCATAAAAAATCCTACAATGTGATTTTCTGGATTTTTTTTCCTAATTTTGCCTGTCATAGTTGACGTGTACCTATGATGAAAATTACAGGCCTCTCTCATCTTTTTAAGTGGGAGAACTTGCACAATTGGTGGCTGACTAAATACTTTTTTTCCCCCACTGTATCTGCATATTTGGGATGGAGTGAGTGGCCTGGCAATCTCCAGACTGAGTGTTGCTAACGACAATTACTGTGGGCGTCTGGAGGAGGTCCAAGGGCCCGTCCTAATGAGAACTTGTCTTTGACACCGTTCACTTCCACCACTACAGAGCTGCTGGGACGCAGTCCACTGGCAGTTTCTCATAAAACCACATTAAGAGGTCTCTCTGTGTGCTCCTGCCTCAGCCCTCAGACCTCAGACTCCAGTGTGTTTTTATGGGAACCTCTGAGGAAGAAATGACAAATAGTGAGTAAATGATGACATTCTTTTAGATAGCCTAATTTCTTGTGTCATGTTTACTCACATGTCAAGAGGAACACAATGTTAAGTCCAATAATTATTTGACAGTGTGAGTAAAATGTTTTGCCAATATGTGCTATACCTGCATTTGGATGAGTGTGTGTGTGAGTGTAAGGGTTTGCACACTTGTGTGCATATTTTCCATGAGTTGCTGATATCTGTTACACATCATTTGATCAGCACACACACAGCTATATCTCTCTGAAGGGTTGCATTGCATCAAAAACCACCTATATTGAGATAAAGAGCTAAAAAAAGTAACCAGATGTTTGATATGTTTTACACATATAAGATTGTTTGCCTAACGCTAATTTAAACTCTAAAACAACACTGTTCCATCCAAAATAGAGAGTAATTCATTCAACCATTTTCTAAGGGAGCCACAGTCATTTTCGGTCTTAGAAAAGCCTAATTCTTGTGTCATGTTACTCACATGTCAGAGGAACACAAGTTAAGTCCAAATTATTTGACAGTGTGAGTAAATGTTTGCCAATATGTGCTATACTGCATTGAGATGTGTGTGTGGAGGGTAGGTTTGCACACCTTGTGCATATTTTCATGAGTTGCTGATATCTGTTACACATCATTGATCAAGCACACACACAGCTATATTCCTCTGAAGGGTTGCTTGCATCAAAAACCACCTATTGAGATAAGAGCTAAAAAAGTAACCAGATGTTTGATATGTTTTACACATATAAGATTGTTTGCCTAACGCTAATTTAAACTCTAAAACAACACTGTTCCATCCAAAATAGAGAGTAATTCATTCAACCATTTTCTAAGGGAGCCACAGTCATTTTCGGTCACAAAAAAGGCACAGAAGAAAGCTGTGAGAAGCACATTAGTGATTGTAAAACACCAGAGGAATGTATGGCACGCAACATGAAAACAATGTGGTCTGGAGGGAATTTATTTATCCACTATCCATCTGTCGCCCATGCTTTAGAATGAGCAGAGCGCATGTATGATGTAGAATTGTATCCATGGCTTATAGGGTTTGTGTGCATAGAGTGTCACAAAGAGAACTGTTGAATGAATGAATATTCCATTAATATGACGGATTCCCCCTACTTTCAGTCGGTATCGCTTCCCGCCGTATTTCAGAATGGTGTCAGGAAACGTTGCATGTTGAATGTTGCAGTTTAAGCTGAAAAGGGGCCAGGCATTGTGGGTTTGTTAGAAGAATGCAAGCGAGCGCATAAACTGTTTGTCAGATATGTAGTGTGTTTGCTTTAACGCCTAAACAGTTCCCTCAGAGCATCCCCTGTGTGTTTACAGCAGGGTTTGGGCCGGGGAAAGCTGCTACATGCCGCTAAGCTCACACCACCTGCTCTGCTCTCTAGCATGGTACTCTAACAGCTAGCCAGAGTCCTGGTTAACTCACAAAGAACATAGAACAGACTTCTCCTGCTTTTTTCCCATGTTCCTTGCCTTGAGTAGATTTGAGTGTTGTGAAATACTGAAATGTGCTGTAGGTGTTTTTCATAGAGTGTTGGGGCATTGCATTGTGTATGTAGTTTTGCAGATTGAGACATTTTGCAAACCAGTCATCACGTCTATTTTGAAGACGCATACAACCATCTGCTCTTTCTCTATGATTGAAGTATTGAGTGTATGATCATGAGCAGCAAGACATATTGTTGGCTGGTATGGATGGTGAGCATGAGCCATTAGTAAGAGCTTTGTCTAAATTTTTCCACTTCTGCAGAAAGGAGGGAATTTCCACCAGCTTTCAAGAGAAATACACTCCACCCGGCATAGCCAGGGATCAATTGAAAAAGGCAGATAATGTCATCACGCAAGAACTGAGACTGGTAAACAGTATGGACGAGTTAATGCACTTACTACACATCAGAAGCTAATGTGATTTCAAAGATAGAGAAGAGAGAGAAAGAGAGAAGAGCAGCTATGGGACATAAGTCTCTGTTAGCCTCAGAATGGTGTTCCTGGAGAGCTGTGTGTTTTGTGTTGTGAAGAGAGACAGACAGACAGACTGTAGAGTAGCTATAGGTCTGGTCAGCAGAAGTAGTAGTTATAGGTCTGGTCAGCAGTAGTAGCTATAGGTCTGGTCAGCAGAAGTAGTAGCTATAGGTCTGGTCAGCAGTAGTAGCTATAGGTCTGGTCAGCAGTAGTAGCTATAGGTCTGGTCAGCAGTAGTAGCTATAGGTCTGGTCAGCAGAAGTAGCTATAGGTCTGGTCAGCAGTAGTAGCTATAGGTCTGGTCAGCAGAAGTAGCTATAGGTCTGGTCAGCAGAAGTAGCTATAGGTCTGGTCAGCAGTAGTAGCTATAGGTCTGGTCAGCAGTAGTAGCTATAGGTCTGGTCAGCAGTAGTAGCTATAGGTCTGGTCAGCAGTAGTAGCTATAGGTCTGGTCAGCAGTAGTAGCTATAGGTCTGGTCAGCAGTAGTAGCTATAGGTCTGGTCAGCAGAAGTAGCTATAGGTCTGGTCAGCAGTAGTAGCTATAGGTCTGGTCAGCAGTAGTAGCTATAGGTCTGGTCAGCAGTAGTAGCTATAGGTCTGGTCAGCAGTAGTAGCTATAGGTCTGGTCAGCAGTAGTAGCTATAGGTCTGGTCAGCAGAAGTAGCTATAGGTCTGGTCAGCAGTAGTAGCTATAGGTCTGGTCAGCAGAAGTAGCTATAGGTCTGGTCAGCAGAAGTAGCTATAGGTCTGGTCAGCAGTAGTAGCTATAGGTCTGGTCAGCAGTAGTAGCTATAGGTCTGGTCAGCAGAAGTAGCTATAGGTCTGGTCAGCAGTAGTAGCTATAGGTCTGGTCAGCAGTAGCAACTATAGGTCTGGTCAGCAGTAGTAGCTATAGGTCTGGTCAGCAGTAGTAGCTATAGGTCTGGTCAGCAGAAGTAGCTATAGGTCTGGTCAGCAGAAGTAGCTATAGGTCTGGTCAGCAGTAGTAGTTATAGGTCTGGTCAGCAGTAGTAGCTATAGGTCTGGTCAGCAGTAGTAACTATAGGTCTGGTCAGCAGTAGTAGCTATAGGTCTGGTCAGCAGTAGTAGTAGTTATAGGACTGGTCAGCAGGAGTAGCTATAGGTCTGGTCAGCAGGAGTAGCTATAGGTCTGGTCAGCAGAAGTAGTAGTTATAGGTCTGGTCAGCAGTAGGAGTAGTTATAGGTCTGGTCAGCAGTAGTAGCTATAGGTCTGGTCAGCAGGAGTAGCTATAGGTCTGGTCAGCAGGAGTAGCTATAGGTCTGGTCAGCAGAAGTAGTAGTTATAGGTCTGGTCAGCAGTAGGAGTAGTTACAGGTTTGGTCTGGAGGCTGAGGCTGAGGCTGAGAACCACAGGCTTGTGAAGGGAGAGGGCGCCCAGCAGTCAGTGGTAGAGCCCTAAGAATAGCAGCAGTGTTCCAACATGGCGGAATGGATGGATAGATGGATGGTGGGATAGCCCCAGCCTGTTACCTCAGAGCAGCGCCTGGGCTGGCCCTCATCTGGCCCTGGCCCATGGTCGGTCCTGCTGTGGCACCACTACTCTACCGGCCCGGCAGCCTCCTCTAGCGAGTGCCAAGCGGCAACTTCTATTCCTGTCTCTGGCCCTCACATGAAAATCCAAATAGTGGCAGAACAAGCAGACCTCTCAGGACTTTGACTGCCCCCCCCCAGCAGGGTTTATGACCCCATGCTCCCAGACTGGGACTGATAGGAATCTCTGGACAGGGGGTCCCTGAGTGGTACCCACCACCGCTGCCTAATAAACCATAAAGCCTCAAAGGCATATTTTCCGTAAAGGGGTTGACCGGGGTCGCCCTGAAATGCCCGACCCGCTCAACCCCACCACTCACCTCTCTCTCCCTCTCTGGGAAGTGACACCTTAGCCTCAGGAAGTGGACCCTCTCACATACATAAATACAGCCTTACCACCCACACACACACAGCGCTGCAGAGAGAGAAATATAAAGAGAGGTGTATTTTGTCAGCCAAGGATGTTAATAAATCAGCCCTTTATGGCTTTAAAAGCATTTCACTGCTGAAATATCTGACAGTCCACTGAATAGCCCCATAGACGTCCTCCCCTCTTTGATCGCACACCCACTCTCTTTCTCTCACACACACACTGACAGACCTGAATGGACACACACACATTCATACACACTCAATCTAGGACTATTTATAGCCACATTATAGCACAGTGCCTCTTTCTCACATTGTGTCGGTGGAAGTTTCCTGCTCCATGTATGTCGTTGCATCATCTGAAGCAGAGGCATCATCGTAGCAGGGGGTTTATGAATGAACACAGCAGTCTCAGCCAGAGGCAGGGAGATGGCACCGTTCCCACTCTGATGTCAGACACTGAGAGTGAGAGCCGAGGGAGCCTCCCATTAATTAATTAATTAATTAATTCATTCATTCATTCATTCATTCATTCATTCATCTCCCCCCAGTCAGTCCTGTGATCGACTCACATTACAGCTCAATGACTCATCCTTCCACTCTCCCTTCCTTCCACTCCCCTCACCCACCCTACCCCACCCCGACTTGCCCTGCCCCGCCCCAGCCCCACCACAGTTCCTTAGGGCCATGGCCCCGGCCGCAAAATCCCAATTTCACGTCCTCGCTCCGGCGCACAGGCGAAGAAGGCTGCTAATTTTGTTCAAGTGTGTCTCCCTCCTCCTCCTGTTCTCTGCTGCTAACATACCTGGGGCCAGAGGTGTGGACTGGAACCTTTGTCTGCAGGGAAGGTTAGGAGTGGGGGAAGGGGGATGGTTTTCCGGCATGCACAGCATCTATTCAGTGGGTGTCTCTGGGGTCTAATATCATTGTGGCACTCCGCACACCAACCAGTGACAATCAATATATTTTACAGTAAATCTACAGCACATCTCTCTCCCACTGTCTGTCAATGATTATATAGTCCCATTTTACGTACCACTTCTAATAAAAAATGTAATGATCCATATGTTTTCCTAATTGGCAGGCAATAAGACTATTTACCACAAGCCACATGCAGGCACTGTCCTCCCTCTCCACTGTAATCTAAGTTGTGGGTGTCATAGATCACCAACCTTACCCTTCTTCTGTCATAATCACACTCCTTATTAACCCAATCACACTGTCAGTCCACTAAATGGATGGGTCTTATCCTATGATAGACTACCACTCTGTGTGTAAGAGGCGGCTGGTGGATGCTTAACGCTCAGTGATACTGACCCTGCCCAGCCTGCCCTAATGGGACTCCCAGGCATTGAAACCATATCAGGGCCTCATAATTTAGCAGAGACTCTAGACCCAAGCCAGCCTCCCCAGTTATTAGATGTACAGTACATTAGCTATCTTACAGAGAACTGCGTGGGCCGTTTAGAGAGGGAGTGAGTACCATTCACAGTATACTGTATGAAATGTAATCATTTGTAATGTGTAAAACAGAATAAAATTCAGTTCAGTCTATAGGAGCTTCATGCACCAGAAAATATAATGTTGAAGTTAAAACATCAATGTTATGCAGTTCAAACACACTCACATTGGTTAAGTCATAAAACCGCCTGTTTCAGCTGGTGGGCATCTGGACGATATGAACCCCCACCTGTGTGTGTCTTTGATGGGGGCCCTGGTTCTTAGATAGCTTTAGGCCTGCGTAGGCGAGCGTGGGGCTGACGAGAGGGCAGACAAACTCCTCTCGATCCATCTAAAATAAAGTGCAACATTCTCTCAGTCTGAGCAAGCCCCATCTCATCTCAGCCAGAGCCCACTCTCCACTAGAGCTATCTAACACTACATAATTACTCAACAACCAGCCGCCTCGGTGGAGAAGGTCAAGACGACCGTGCAGTCAGGAACATGGTGTACGCTATACAGTCAGGTCTCGTTTTATTTTCATTTCAGAATGCTTTCAGAATCTGAGCCTGTTTTGCTCTGTGATGTCGAGGGCCTTGTCTGACAATAGCCTCTTCAGTCTTTTGCAATATGATACTAAAATAGCACGATACTGTAGAAATGTGTAACCAAGCCAATAGAGTGGTTACTCTAATATGTAGTATAATCAGGACTTCCAAATGGAGAGAGAGGGAGCATGGAGGCCTAATCGAATCACACACCGGCACAGTGTTATGGTTCGACCTTCATTTGGGCACTCTGTATAATTTGGCCTGTCAGCTTCTAGTGGTTAGGCAGAGAGAGAGAGAGAGCCTTTGGTTCCAGGCAGGCAGCGTTGGGTTACAGCTCCACAGCCCAGAGAGGAGGGACAGCTGTTGTGCATTCCAGACGAAGTCGGGAACGTTGACGAGCAGTGAAAACACGCATGAACTGTACATCGCCACGGCCTCCCCTTCGCTGGGCTGGCAGATCAAACCAGGGCAGAGATGCCAGAACATCTGAGGCGTCGAGAGAGAGCAGAGGGGTGACAAAACGTCTCCAGTCTCCCTCCAGGCCTGCTTGTGATCTGATAGTTGAGTTCACACGGCGAGGGGTGATAGAGATTGAGTGACATACAGCCTTGGTTATAATTTATGCCTTTCTTTGTTATGAAATGTGGTGATTTCTATATTCATTCACAGTAGACTGTCACAGTCATTGTCTGTCTGTCTGTCTGTCTGTCTGTCTGTCTGTCTGTCTGTCTGTCTGTCTGTCTGTCTGTCTGTCTGTCTGTCTGTCTGTCTGTCTGTCTGTCTGTCTGTATGTATGTCTGTCTGTCTGTCTGTCTGTCTGTGTTTGTCTCTTTCTCTCTCTTTCCATGTCTTTGTTTTTTGAGACTGTTGCCATCTTGATCCGAGTAAGGTTTTAGCACTCTAGTCTAGTGCTCCTGCCCTGGGGGCTTTCCCTCTCCTCCTCCCTCCATCCACCCCTCTGTAGACTGGTAGAGTCTAATTAGATCAGTGCGAGTCATCAGGCACTGTTTAAAGCCATCAAAGAGTGCTCTGTCTCCTGCTGGGTGCCCACTGGCTGTGTGGGGAGAACAGTGGGCCTGTGTGTCCGGGACCTTAGAGACACTCACCCTCCACACACCCCCCTCGACCCCTTACCCCCACCCCCTCCAGCCTGGCAGGGCTCAGGGTGACATCATCACCTCGTCCCTGACCTCTGACCCTTGCCGTTTGACCACCGTGGTGTTGGGGTGACAGTAGACCCTCTGTGTGTCGGGGGGGGGGGGACATAGTTAAGAGGTCACAGTGGCCACTGATAGGTATCAGCCCCACTCTGTGAGTCCCACCCAGGGTGTGACTGGGTCACCAGTGAGAATGGCCTCTACCTTGTCCATATGTGAGGCATTCATGTATTATATTGCCAAACAAACAACTCAAAACACTTTGAGGCTCTTGGACAACACGGACAGCGGAAGCTGGAGCATGTGTTGTTTGTGTGCACCCGTATGTGACCAATGCATTTGTGGCAGCTGCCATATAGTATAATTGATTCTCTCCCAAGTCGATACACTGTCTGTCTGGACAGGATGCAATTGTTCAGCCAAGTGCTTCATCACGGCGGCAGTGTGTGTGTGTGTGTGTGTGTGTGTGTGTGTGTGTGTGTGTGTGTGTGTGTGTGTGTGGCCCTGTGTTCTGTTCGCTGTGAGTCTGACTGCTAGTCTCTCTCTCTCTCTCTCTCCTGTGTGACTGACAGATCTGGAGTGTGGAGACGTGCCCCTGCTCACTCCAGGGAGCAAAGAGATGATGTCTCAGGCTCTGAAGGCCACGTTCAGCGGCTTCACAAAGGAACAGCAACGACTGGGCATTCCCAAAGGTAAGGCACATAAACAAGGGCTTACTTTCTCTTTCTGTGTCTTTCTCTCTCTTTCTCCCCCCTCTGTTTCTCTTCCTAGCTCTCACTTTACATGCATATTTTTAAACCTACATCCTTCCTCTCAGTATGACTAAAGATAGCTAAGTGGTGACATTATATACAAAAAGACAGATTGAGTGTATTGGTATTCAGACAGACTGTAGGAATCAGAGAAAGCCGGGGTAGAGACAGACAGAAATTATAAATAATGGTTCTTCGATTGAGGCATACCACAGAGCTCATCATTTTGGTATTATAGGATGCATCATGTCTATGTTGTGTTTCCCCAGTCCACCCCTCCCAGCCAGTCCGCAAATAGCTGGGGTTTCACTGTCAGTCTATTGTTACTATCACCACTTATCTGCACCACCTCACCTCTTACCTCTAATAGCAGCAGCAGGTCTAAAATCATGACCCACTGAAACTGCTAATGAAAATGAATGTGCTACAGAAACCGCTCTGTGGCCTGATAATAATACCTCATCTCCATTCTAGTTCAGGGGAGTGTAGATTAAATCAGAGTGGAGTGGAGGTATCTTGTTACCATGTATATGACTGTGACCTCAGGTAGCCCTTCAGTGACATGTCCCTCCCTCTCCCCCCATGTCCCTCTCAGACCCCAGGCAGTGGACAGAGAGCCACGTGGGAGAGTGGCTGACGTGGACGGTGAACGAGTTCAGCCTGAAGAGTGTGGACTTCCACAAGTTCTGTATGAACGGGGCCAGTCTGTGTGCCCTGGGGAAGGAACGCTTCCTGGATTTAGCACCTGACTTTGTGGGCGACATCCTCTGGGAACATCTAGAGATGCTTCAGAAAGGTAGGCCCAGGCTCTAGCATGATGTACTACAGTACCCATAATGCTCTGTACAACATATCAATCAGGGTTGGGCTCAATTCTAATTAAGGCAGTCAATTCAGGAAGTGATTTGAATTTAAAATTCAGACATTTCAAAACCTTTGATATAAATAGCTTCTACTTTAGTAATTTAAAATAAATGCACTTTCTTAGATTATTGAATTGCAATTTTTGTTTACTTCCTGAATTGACAACCTTCAATTCAAAATTGAGCCCAACCCTGGTATCAATCACAAGCCTCAGAAATGCCTACTGAACCTATCACATTAGCTGTAGTGTGTATTGAAGCACAGCATTGCCGCTGTAGTCTAATGGTGCCAAACGGTTTCAAATGTTATTATTTGCATGGTAATCTGAGACGAAGAGGAAGACCTCCCTTTCCTCCTGGTAATTAATATTTAATCAGCCAGGCCCAACCATACTGGATGCAGTGTATTTACGACCGTTATAGGATACATTAAATCAATGACAGGGTCAGTGACTGTTGGTATCTATTTTTCATGAAGAAGACACAAAGCATTTCCCTGTCAACGGCCTGACCTCCACCTTCCAGGAATCCCACTGTACCTCAGACTACTTTGTCAGTAAGTATCACCAAGGAGACAACATCCTATGTACATAGTCTGGCTCTAATGTACTAATGGCTTGTTAATATGTAATATGTTACATCAATCAATGTCTAAACATAAAGAATGAGGAGATGGCTCAGCACAGCAGGTCCAGTATTTTGTTGTTGTTGCAGTTACACAACTGAGCTCTCTCTCTCTCTCTCTCTCTCTCTCTCTCTCTCTCTCTCTCTCTCTCTCTCATCTCCTCCTCTCTCTCTCTCTCTCCTCTCTCTCTCTCTCTCCTCTCTCCTCTCTCTCTCCCTCCTTCTCCCCCCCCCCCCTCTCTCTCTCTCCCCCCCCCCCCCCCCCCTCCTCTCTCTCCCCCGCCTCTCTCTCTCCTCCTCCTCCTGTGTTTCTCCAGGCTATGGCATTGAGCATGCCCAGTGCGTTCCTCCCTCTGAATACTCAGAGCCGGGCTTCATCACAGAGTCCTACCAGACCCTTCACCCAATCAGCTCCGAGGACCTGCTGTCACTCAAGTACGAGAGCGAATACCCAAACGTCATCCTCAGGGACATGCCCCTCAACCCACTGCAGGGGGACTACTTCTCAGTCAAGCAGGAGGTGGTCTCCCCCGACAACATGTGTGTGGGCCGCATCAGCAGAGGTGAGGGGTCACAAACAAGATAGTAAAGGAATTGGTTGGAAATCAAGATTTAGTGTAGTGTGGGGGAGTGTGGCTGTTACAGCTGCTGTATTTTAGGTGCCCTATCTCAAAGAGGAACAAGTTAACTTGGGTAACTTGGGGCCATTACGTGAGTAGGCCTATAGTCCATGTCTCAGTTGTGCACAAGACTGAGACTCTGATTCAGTCCATACAGTATGAAACTATGATAAGTAATTCCACGGTGTAGACTGTAACTCCTTGTGTGAGTCTTGAGGTCTAGCTAATTGTGCTGCGTTTGTGAAGATCACTGTGTGTGTGTGATTTCACTGACACCCTCCAATCTTTCCCTGCCACATCAGTACATGTACCACGATAGAAGAAAGGAGGCCCTATAGCTGGCTTGTGGTTAAAGCAAACCCGCCTTGAGGAGAAAATAAGTCAATTGTTTATGTCAGAGTGAGATGAGAACAAAGCCACATGGTGTGTTAGAGCTGTCTGTCCCTATAGCCCAAGTAAGGTAACCTTCAAGAACAACCACATTTGTTCTCTCTCAACTTTCTCATCTCTGTTTTTCACATCTCAACCTTGAGGTGGTTCTCAGCAAGGACAGAGAGTGTCAGAGAGCGTGGGTTTTCTTTCTCATGAACCGCTCTGTTTACTTGCCACATGCACCACTGTTTGGTTTCCCGCTGATAGTTTGGAGAATAATTAACAGCGTAGTTTACATTGATACCAATAAAGTTGGGATTTTCTTCTCAAATCCCCCAGTTGAACAAATTAATAGGGGGTATCAGGGAGTTTACAGTACACAGGTCCATCCAGTGGACTGACTGGGCATTTGCCTGCAAGGTATGTTCAGGCCTCGAACATAATACATCTCAGGGTTTTTGGCAGTGCATTGTGCTTTCTCAATGTGGGAAAGTATTTGTGGCACCACTGAAAACCACATGTGGCTTCAATTTGTGCAATTGAAGATTTCAGTATCAGTTGAGGCACTGGATTATCTTTCATTCTTTAATAGCTCTCAGTTGAAATGCTCCTCGTATCTTTGCCGAGGCCAGAAATAGCAAGGCAATTTGTATTGATCTTCTTCCAATTAGACGAAACCAAATGGCAATTGCACATGCTAAACTGAGTGTGAAATGAAGGGTCCAGGACCATACATTGTTATACAGAACAAAGAAGCTCAGTGAGAGTGTAATTTACTGCCAATGTCTAATGTGTATTACTGCCATAAATACTGTCCTCTGTCAAATCGTAATGTCACTGCTCAAAACTATTTACTTTCAGACAATTCTATTTTCATTCCCTCTCACACTATGAGCAATAAAACTAACAGCTTCTGCTCTCCCCCTCTCTGTCTCTCAGGTAAACTGGGAGGCCAGGACTCGTTTGAGAGCATCGAGAGCTTTGAAAGCTGTGACCGTCTGACCCAGTCCTGGAGCAGCCAGTCCTCCTTCAGCAGTCTGCAGCGCGTCCCATCCTACGACAGCTTCGACTCCGAGGACTACCCCAGCGCCCTGCACGGACACAAGCCCAAGGGAACCTTCAAGGACTACGTCAGGGAGCGCTCAGACCTCAGCAAAGACAAACCTGTCATCCCCGCCGCAGCGCTCGCAGGATACACAGGTTAGTCAAAATTAATGAATAAAATACAGGTTACAGTTTGAAAAATGTGCGATCAACTACAATAGGTATGGCCAAACGATAATCCCTCTTATTTCTTAGAGGCATTTTTACGCCACCCAACTGAGCCCTTTGTTACATATTTGCCAGGCAGTTGCAGCAGATGTACATACTGTAGGTGTGCCTCAGTGTAACTGGGTCTCTGTAACTGGCAGCACAGCTTCTGGCTGAGAGCGTTTATATACACTCTATAACAGCCTACGGCACTGCAGCACCAGAGTCATGCATTTACAGGAAACAAAGACATGTTGCTTCACTTTCATCTCTCCATCTCGCCTCGTCTTGACTCTGTCTTTCTCATCTGCACCGTTTTATCTGTGGCCGCATCTCAACCTATTTTCCAGGTCGTCTTGGCAACCTGGGTGCAAACACAAAACGATACCTGCTCTGTGCGCTTGACACTAGAGTAGATGTATCTGTTCATCTTTAAGGCCCCTTTCTATCTACAGTACCTGATGAAAAAAGCTATTCTATCCTCTATTCAAACACAAAGAAACACATCTTAGAAGTTTTTTAAAAGATCAAAGGTCTGGCATATTCTATTTTCATATTATTTTTATGTCAAGGTTTTCAGTTTGTTTTGTAAAAACGTTGTGAAAAAGTTAACATTTTTGCTACTTAAATCCCTATACACCGTTTGACATTTTGGGACCTATAGCCATTACAGAAATGTGTTTATGGAACACTTCACATGTGATCGCATGTGAAATTCATGTGTTTTTTCCGTAAGGGAGTTGAATTCTCCATGTTTCAAAGTAGAGCACAAGTATATACAGTGCATTCGGAAAGTATTCAGACCCCTTGACTTTTTCCACAATTTGTTACGTTACAGCCTTATTCTAAAATGGATTACATTCAGATTGCATTACTCATTGCCTTCTATTGGCATCTCATGGTAATTTCTGATGTTCTGAAGTTTTCTGTACTAATCAATTATGTCAACTACTTCATTCATGCATTCATCTTTTGATCATAATTGCATACCTACAGAAATGTACATTAGATTGACAGTACCAGTCAAAAGTTTGGACACACCTACTAATTCCAGGTTTTGTACATTGTAGAATAATAGTGAAGACATCAAAACTGTGAAATAACACATATGGAATCATGTAGTAACCAAAAAAGTGTTAAACAAATCTAAATATATTTGAGATTTGAGATTCTTCAAAGTAGCCACACTTTGCCTTGATGACAGCTTTGCACACTCTTGGCATTCTCTCAACCGGCTTCATGAGGAATGCTTTTCCAACAGTCTTGAAGTAGTTCCCACATATGATGAGCACTTGTTGGCTGCTTTTCCTTCGCTCTGCGGTCCAACTGATCTCAAACCATCTCAATTCGGTTGCATTCGGGTAATTGTGGAGGCCAGGTCATCTGATGCAGCACTCCATCACTCTCCTTCTTGGTCAAATAGCCCTTACACAGCTTGGAGGTGTGTTTTGGGTCATTGTCCTGTTGAAAAACAAATGATAGTCCCACTAAGCGCAAACCAGATGGGATGGCGTATTGCTGCAGAATGCTGTTGTAGCCATGCTGGTTAAGTGTGCCTTGAATTATAAATAAATCATTGACGGTGTCACCAGCAAAGCATCCCCACACCATCACACCTCCTCCTCCATGCTTCACGGTGGGAACCACACATGTGGAGATCATCCGTTCACCTACTCTGCATCTCACAAAGACACGGCGGTTGGAACCAAAAATCTCAAATTTGGACTCATTAGACCAAAGGACAGATTTCCACCGGTCTAATGTCTATTGCTCGTGTTTCTTGACCCAAGGAAGTCTCTTCTTATTATTGGTGTCCTTTAGTAGTGGTTTCTTTGCAGCAATTCGACCATGAAGGCCTGATTCACGCAGTCTCCTCTGAACAGTTGATGATGAGATGTGTCTGTTACTTGAACTCTGTGAAGCATTTATTTGGGCTGAAATCTGAGGTGCAGTTAACGCTAATGTACTTATCCTCTGCAGCAGAGGTAATTCTGGGTCTTCCTTTCCTGTGGCGGTCCTCATGAGAGCCAGTTTCATCATAGCGCTTGATGGTTTTTGCGACTGCACTTGAAGAAATGTTCCGGATTGACTGACCTTCATGTCTTAAAGTATTGATGGACTGTCATTTCTCTTTGCTTATTTGAGCTGTTTTTGCCATTATATGGACTTGGTCTTTCACCAAATAGGGCTATCTTCTGTATACCAGGGGCGGCAGGTAGCTTAGTGGTTAAGAGCGTTGTGCCAGTAACTGAAAGGTCACTGGTTCTAATCCCCGAGCCGACTAGGTGAAAAATCTGTCGATGTGCCCTTGAGCAAGGCACTTTACCCTAATTGCTCATGTAAGTCGCTCTGGATAAGAGCGTCTGCTAAATGACAAAAACAATTTTTAAAAACACCCCTATCTTGTCACAACCCAACCGATGGGCTCAAATGCATTAAGAAGGAAAGATTTCCACAAATTCACTTTTAACAAGGCACACCTGTTACTTGAAATGCATTCCAGGTGACTACCTCATGATGCTGGTTGAGAGAATGCCAAGAGTGTGCAAAGCTGTCATCAATGCAAAGGGTGGTTACTTTGAAGAATCTCAACTATAAAATATATTTTGATTTGTTTAACACTTGTTTGGTTACTACATTATTCCATATGTGTTATTTAATAGATTTGATGTCTTCACTATTACTCTACAATGTAGAAAATAGTAAAACTAAAGAAAAACCCTGGAATGAATAGGTGTGTCCAAACTTTTGACTGGTACTGTACATTAGACATTTAAGGTAAAATGAAAGACAGATATAAACAATTGGCATGCCCTAATTGAAGACTTTTACATGGCTAGAATATGCATTCGTAATATAATGCCAGCTAGTGGTACAGATGTAGAATCTTAATTTGATCCACCCTGTTGCAGGCAAACTTTTGGTTTAAAAAGGCTTTTGAAGTTTATAATTTCCACATTGACATTTCAGACTTGATTTTCCCTTACGAAAAATGTATCAACCCCTACAAAAATGTCCATGAATTATAATCCACATGATAAATCACGTTTCCTGTTGCTGCAGGATTATTTTCCTGCTGTAGCAAACTGGCTCAAATGAAGTTCCTACATCTGTAGGCTATTTGCTGCATGTCATCATTCATGCATTTCTGGAAAGTAATTCACTTCCCTACTGTAGGTGTTTAATGATGTAGCATTAGTTATAAAGCTACCATAGACTCATGTTCAAAGCCTAATGCATGTTCCCATGTTTTCATTGGAGTCAGAATACTTTCTTAGAGCTTTTAGAGTCATGCAGAACTAAAGAGAAGAAAATAAACATAAGTGGGAAAAATATTTCAATATGCTTCAGAAATAAAGTGTCTAGCTGGCAACAACCATTGTTATTAACTGTTATTACCCTGTATGCTGTCCTGCAGCCAAGAGAAAGATCACCCCCATAATGCCCCCAAACAACTAATGCATCTTATCACTATGTGAAAAACAGAGAGAATCTCCCAAAAAATAGTAAGACATTTATGTAATATCTCAAATAGCTTTTGATGAAAACGTGTGTTTTGGCTTCCTGTCCCAGTACCTGTGCACTGACAGGCACACACATGGTTCTCAGTGATGAGTTGGTGAGATAAAGAAGGTGTGGATAAGTGAGGCTTAGTCAGTCGTCAGCTCTCTCTGAGGTTTCTCATCTCCAATCACACTTCTGTCACCTCTGGGGAAGCAGCAGGCAGTCAGTCACAGCACCTTGGGGTCAACTACAGCCCCCCCCCCCCCCCCCCCCCCCCCCCCCCCCTCTCTCTCTCTCTCTCTCTCTCTCTCTCCACCCTGCATAGGCTACAGTCTCATCTGTAAAGCCTAAGGGCAGATCCTAAACAGTACTATGAATGCCAGCCCCCCACCCTTTCTCCACAGTATATGCTTTTTCAATGAGGCCCATTGTGCATGGGGGCTTTTAACATATTTTTGAGAAAACATTTTAGGGTCACCAACATTCTCGTGTGAGAGAGCTTGAGGGGGCTGGAAAGGGGCACTGTTGTATCACCCTTATGTGGGCCCATGGTTACAGTAGCAGGCTTTTTGGAATGTGACTTCATCTGGAGGAGTGCTACTGTACAGTAGTCAGTTGAATATAGCTGGTTATTATTTGCTGAAATGTGGGTATTGCATCTTTGCATTCATGTTCATAACTGAATGAAGCGAGTAGAAGCCTTGGATTGAAAACAACTTATTTTGCTTTCAAGTGTTCAACCCACACTCCCATTTCTCTGAAAGCTTTGGTTTGTGTCGTATAAGGGTGCTTTTATGAGGCAGGTCTGAGAGGTAACAGCTCCGCTCTGCTGCAGCTTTGCTAAGCGAGCGCTGCATAGGCAGGTGTGATTTAGAACCGGGTGGATGTTTCTGTCTGTACAGAAAACCACAAGATCAAAGAGTACGGAAGATAATAGAGTGCAGCACAAACCAAACATCGTTTTTCTCACCTGCTACTCTTTTTCTTATCAACACGATTGTAATAACCCCTGCAGTTCAGGTCGTCACATTGGGTCCATTTGTTTAGTCTACAAATATATGTAAAAAATATGTCAATGAAATTGTATGTAAATGCATTCAATTGCTTTTACAGTATATTGCATTATCAGTGCATACCTGAACATGACAGAAAATCAAGCGACATTTGTTTACCAATTAGATGAAATGTAATGTTTATAATGGCTGATCTCTGGGAGTCTACACTACACACACACACACACATACACACACACACACAAACACACACAGCCAAGGCCTCATGAAGACCCCCTCTTATTTAAACCACTGTGATTTCATCGCCATGATATTCATACAGACAGACAACAACACGCTGTGAACTCCAGCTCCACGTACTGCAGAGGGCAAAGGGTAGACAAAGGGATTCATGATGAATGGGAACCTTGTCTGTGAAAACACTGTTTTCTCTCCATTATCGTGCCTTTTACACGTCTGATTCAGAGTGGAATATTTGTATTTTTATAGCTGGAGATGAATGACCCCAAGACAAGTAGTTAATGAGAAACATGAGAAGAACAGTCAGTCACAGATATGCTGTGTTTACATGCGGCTGATGATGACATGTTCCGTAATACTGATCTGTATTGTACTGAAAACAAGGCTCCTCTCTCTCAGTGTTCTAACCTTGTTCTCCTCTCTCTCCCTTCTCCTGGTTCTGCTCTGCAGGCAGCGGCCCCATCCAGCTGTGGCAGTTTCTGCTGGAGCTTCTGACGGACAAGTCCTGTCAGTCCTTCATCAGCTGGACGGGAGATGGCTGGGAGTTCAAGCTGTCCGACCCTGACGAGGTGAGAGGTCATGACCCCATCACCACTGACCTCACATGGCATGGGGGCCCTAAACAGTTAGACAGATGAGCTTGATGTTTTTTTAATGTGACGCCAACAACAGTGTTATTTGTCTCACTTAGACTCAGAGGAACCTTAGCGGTATCAGGTACATTTAGCTACATTAAATATTCATCCATGTCAAGAGAAGACATATACACGAAAACATTGTAATGTGAGGTTAGTGCAGAGCTCTGTCTCATGGTTGATACATGGTGTAACAAGGTGCCTTTTCCCTCTGTGACTCAGGTGGCTCGGAGGTGGGGGAAGAGGAAAAATAAGCCCAAGATGAACTACGAAAAGCTGAGCCGAGGCTTGCGCTACTACTACGACAAGAACATCATCCACAAGACATCAGGGAAGCGCTACGTCTACCGCTTTGTCTGTGACTTAAAAAGCCTGCTGGGATACACCCCTGAGGAGCTCCACGCCATGCTGGACGTTAAGCCTGATGCAGACGAGTGAAAACAGAGGGATGAGAGAACAGAAGAAGAAGAAGTGGAGAGTAAAGGAGCCGAGGGGACTGGGGCTCAGAGATTGATGCCGTCCGGTAATAGGGGGGCGTCCATTTTGGGACCAAACCTAAACTGTGGTCTGTATCATTTTGAGCTGTTGTCAGATGACGTTCAAAAAGGAAGCACATGCCAAACGTGCAAATTCATAATATGTTGCATTTGAGATAGTGTGTGTGTGATAGCTATATGTATATACAGGGATTACTTAGTAGCTCAAGGCACATGGAAAGCTATCAGTTAGAATAGAGTGGCCATTTAGCCTAAGTAGCACAAGAAACTGACATTGAGGAAGGGGGCCAAGAGACAGTGAAAGATTCATTGTAGGGAAGAACATTGCATGGATGGAGAGTTCCTGCAATGAAATCTGTTGCCAAATAAAAAAAGGAAAGTAGTGGAAATAGTTCACTGTTTCTCTGCCTCACTCCACACAATAGGCATGGGTAGAGTTCTCAGCTTGGACCAAAAAAGTGTTGTTGTTTTTTACTATTGTTTCAGAAGCATAATGTTTGTGCCAGTATTATCGTTGAGATTGAACTCCTGGTGTACTGTTTAGTCTCAGTCCGACCAGGGTTCCCCCGTTTTTTAAATGTTTTATGTTGATGAAGGTATTATGAAACCAAAACGTTGCACCATTTAAGGTTAAGTTAGTCCTGTCTCCTCTCTGTGAAAGCCCAATAACTGAAACATGCTGATTTGACTATCAGACGACACTAGACACTGGCCTTTTTACTCATTTTCATAGGTTGGATGGAGAGTTACTTACTCATACCAAGAGCGGTTGATAGACGCCTGAAAGTAACCGTTGCTTTAAAACTGACGCTTTCACCTTTGCACATTTGCCACATCGCTATAGAAATATACAGTCTGCCACCAGGACTTTGCATTTTGCATACATTACTGTCCTACCACCAGTAATAAATGTCCTTAGACACCCTTTCTGTGGTGAGTTTTGAAAGTATTTGGACATGAAAGAGTAATACGTCTCCATGCACAATCTGTACATTGAGTGGTTTTCCAAGCCCCCATTTTAGCATTGCTTTAGAAGAGAACAGAGAGGGAGGGACCTATTGTCAACAGATTGAATTGCGAGGCATGTACATGAGGGATGGTTTTTGTAGTCAAAAGAAAAAGCTTAGGAATGTGGAGTGTACTGTATTTGTGTGTGTTACGTGGTGTTCAGTGAATGAAGGGAATCTGCCATAGGTAGGTAAGGTATATCAAGGTGCATGATGGTAGTAAGGTGAAAAGACAAGGTTTCGAAGCAAGGAGTGTAGACTTTGGATGACTGTTTGAAGAAGAGAGGGATGTGAGGAGGACTGGGTGGTTTTGGGAGGGAATTGTGGAGTTGTGAAGTTAATCAGTATTGGCTGAAAGATAATTATCATTATGGCATGAGGATGAGATGAATGCTTGTGCTGTTGCACAGCTTGGAGGCTTTGTTAACTGAAGTGTTTGTATAGATGCTCCCTTTCACCACTGTCTGAGGAGGTAAAGATCTATAGGAAACAGGACTACCATAAAGAGTTGGGCTAAAGGACTACTGGGAGAGACGTGGCATTGTATGCTATTTTCTTACCATGTTTTGTACATGCTTTTCTACATATTTCTAAGACAAAGGGACACCCAATTCAGTATATGGAATGGATCAATGAAATTATATGCCCTGAATACTGTATGTACTTGTGCAGCTTGCTCAAGAGCCACAGTAGTTGTGCTGGTTGGGTTTTGAGTAATGTCGTCAGTGGGAACATGACTATACGCAGGCCTTATGGGAAAAGCCAAAGTCAAGAAATATCATCTTAAAATACAAATGTTATTGTTTACAGTGGCAGAATGTTACCCATTCTGATGAAAATAGGTTTTGAAATGTCTATTTGTACAGATTGTATTTCATAACGCTTTATTAAGACCCAGATTAAACAAATAAGCAAGAGACAAAGCAGGAATAATAACCAAACCCATGTGAGGTCTGGGCGATAGATAGTGCTTTGGGTATGTCCACCATCTTGGAGGACAGGGACTGTTATTCCCTCACATTCAAAGTGTTGTTTCTGCTTTGATCTTTTGATTTGTTGGAAAGCACTCAGTGTCAGGACTCAGCGAAGAGATTTGGCTGGACTAACTGTAGTTCCCTCTTGAGATTATAGGAAAGTGATTTCTGTCCATATTAATTACTTTTTAGTTGGGCAACTGACCACAGGGGGGTTGGTTCTTCCAGTGTCAGCACACACACACACACACACACACACACACACACACACACACACACACACACACACACACACACACACACACACACACACACACACACACACACACACACACACACACACACACACCACCCACACACACACCACACACACCACACACACATAATCTTGTGTAGAGAAGATCCACCCAATCTCTGTGGTTCCATCCTTTATGCACGCTACATTTCCAGGAATCACATCACTGTTTGATTATTACTGTTCAGATTTTTTCACTCCAAATAATGTTTTATGTTAGGGCAACTGTTTAGATATTTAAATATATGCTTAACTTGTTGTTGACGATGCCTTCCAGCTCCAAGCCAGTCACAGTTTTGAGTAGATCAGAATATAATATCTTTGTCTGTTTAAATGGAACATATACTGTGTCTGTTTGGACTTCAAAGTCAAGTTTGTTTCAGTAAATGTCATATACAGTGAGGGAAAAAAGTATTTGATCCCCTGCTGATTTTGTACGTTTACCCACTGACAAAGAAATGATCAGTCTATAATTTAAATGGTAGGTTTATTTGAACAGTGAAAGACAGAATAACAACAAAACAATCCAGAAAAACGCATGTCAAAAATGTTATAAATTGATTTGCATTTTAATGAGGGAAATAAGTATTTGACCCCTCTCAATCAGAAAGATTTCTGGCTCCCCGGTGTCTTTTATACAGGTAACGAGCTGAGATTAGGAGCACACTCTTAAAGGGAGTGCTCCTAATCTCAGTTTGTTACCTGTATAAAAGACATCTGTCCACAGAAGCAATCAATCAATCAGATTCCAAACTCTCCACCATGGCCAAGACCAAAGAGCTCTCCAAGGATGTCAGGGACAAGATTGTAGACCTACACAAGGCTGGAATGGGCTACAAGACCATCGCCAAGCAGCTTGGTGAGAAGGTGACAACAGTTGGTACGATTATTCGCAAATGGAAGAAACACAAAATAACTATCAATCTCCCTCGGCCTGGGGCTCCATGCAAGATCTCACCTCGTGGAGTTGCAATGATCATGAGAGCAGTGAGGAATCAGCCCAGAACTACACGGGAGGATCTTGTCAATGATCTCAAGGCAGCTGGGACCATAGTCACCAAGAAAACAATTGGTAACACACTACGCCGTAAAGGACTGAAATCCTGCAGCGCCCGCAAGGTCCCCCTGCTCAAGAAAGCACATATACATGCTCGTCTGAAGTTTGCCAATGAACATCTGAATGATTCAGAGGAGAACTGGGTGAAAGTGTTGTGGTCAGATGAGATCAAAATCGAGCTCTTTGGCATCAACTCAACTCACCGTGTTTGGAGGAGGAGGAATGCTGCCTATGACCCCAAGAACACCATCCCCACCGTCAAACATGGAGGTGGAAACATTATACTTTGAGGGTTTTTTTCTGCTAAGGGGACCTGACAACTTCACTGCATCAAAGGGACGATGGACAGGGCCATGTACCGTCAAATCTTGGGTGAGAACCTCCTTCCCTCAGCCAAGGCATTGAAAATGGGTCGTGGATGGGTATTCCAGCATGACAATGACCCAAAACACATGGCCAAGGCAACAAAGGAGTTGCTCAAGAAGAGCACATTAAGGTCCTGGAGTGGCCTAGCCAGTCTCCAGACCTTAATCCCATAGAAAATCTGTAGAGGGAGCTGAAGGTTCGAGTTGCCAAACGTCAGCCTCGAAACCTTAATGACTTGGAGAAGATCTGCAAAGAGGAGTGGGACAAAATCCCTCCTGAGATGTGTGCAAACCTGGTGGCCAACTACAAGAAACGTCTGACCTCTGTGATTGCCAACAAGGGTTTTGCCACCAAGTACTAAGTCATGTTTTGCAGAGGGGTCAATGAACATCTGAATGATTCAGAGGAGAACTGGGTGAAAGTGTTGTGGTCAGATGAGATCAAAATCGAGCTCTTTGGCATCAACTCAACTCACCGTGTTTGGAGGAGGAGGAATGCTGCCTATGACCCCAAGAACACCATCCCCACCGTCAAACATGGAGGTGGAAACATTATACTTTGAGGGTTTTTTTCTGCTAAGGGGACCTGACAACTTCACTGCATCAAAGGGACGATGGACAGGGCCATGTACCGTCAAATCTTGGGTGAGAACCTCCTTCCCTCAGCCAAGGCATTGAAAATGGGTCGTGGATGGGTATTCCAGCATGACAATGACCCAAAACACATGGCCAAGGCAACAAAGGAGTTGCTCAAGAAGAGCACATTAAGGTCCTGGAGTGGCCTAGCCAGTCTCCAGACCTTAATCCCATAGAAAATCTGTAGAGGGAGCTGAAGGTTCGAGTTGCCAAACGTCAGCCTCGAAACCTTAATGACTTGGAGAAGATCTGCAAAGAGGAGTGGGACAAAATCCCTCCTGAGATGTGTGCAAACCTGGTGGCCAACTACAAGAAACGTCTGACCTCTGTGATTGCCAACAAGGGTTTTGCCACCAAGTACTAAGTCATGTTTTGCAGAGGGGTCAGATACTTATTTCCCTCATTAAAATGTAAATCAATTTATAACATTTTTGACATGCATTTTTCTGGATTTTATTGTTGTTATTCTGTCTCTCACTGTTCAAATAAACCTACCATTAAAATTATAGACTGATCATTTCTTTGTCAGTGGGCAAACATACAAAAAATCAGCAGCGGATCAAATATTTTTTTCCCTCACTGTAAGTATTGCACAGATCTTTCTAAA